GGCCTCAACCCCAGAATCCCACCCCTGGAACCTCAGATTCTGGCCTCGACCCCAAAATCCGACATCTCATATCAGCCTCTTATCTCAGATGTTAGTCCACCGGGGAGCCTTTATGAACACGCAAACACACATACACACACGCACACACACACACACATGACTGACCACACAAACTGTGGATTGACTGCGTGTACATGTGGGAAGCTGAAACACGTGCCCGACTATGCTTCACCAACTTCTTCATGTGGGTCAGCAAAGAACAAGAACAAATAAGTAGAAAGCTGATGCTGCTTTGTTCGACCAATGCTGCTTTGTGGCTGACACAGACTGACACAGACAACATTAAGCGCAGTAATCCACAGAGCTCAACACAAGACAACACTAGCCAACTTGACCAGAGCAGCTTCCCATTATTAGTCACCAAAAACAATTTAATTGCCTGCAACCGAAAGACAAACAGATCTGGCCAGTTGCGAGCCACCACACTGTGTCTTCAAGCAGTTGCGCAAGGCTTGAAAAGAAGATGTCAATGAAGCGAAAAGCAAAACAGTCTGGAATGACAGCTCACAGGCTTGATGCATGTAAAGAACATTCTCACTGAGCAATCCATACATTTGTCAAAGTTCAACTATACAGCAGCAGTAGCAACAACAGCAACCATCACAATGGCTGGAATACTAGACTACAAAACCTGGCGACCGTAGTGCTGAGCGTTCGCCTGAAGTTCTTTTGTTGCAGTCGCTGTGTCAATGGGACTTGACTTCACTGACACCTAACAAAGGCCAAGAAAGTCTAAACTTGGCTCGGTGTCAGTCAATATTGTGGCTGACATATGCTGACAAACACGCAGGCAAACTTTTGCGTGCTTCAACACCAAATGTAATTGTGAAGAAGTCCTACGAACTAGTAGTACTTAAATTGCTTCCCGCGCTTCGCCGCTTCTGCTGATCCGCTATGTACACCAACCCACAATGTTCACAAAGAACCACAAAGCACTAAGCACTAGAAGCAACAAAGCCATAGTCGCAGTCATAGTCCAAGGTTGTTCCTCTGCCCCACCTGCTCATCCATGTCCAGAATCCGGCCACGGCTGGATTCAGCCCGAGTGTCAACCATTTCGACGTCAAGGTCTGTTTCATCATCTGACATATCACGCAGGTTGGTGCTGCTGCTATCAGAATCTTGTTCTGTCCTCAAGGCTTTGGCAGCATGGATGTCCATGATGTCATTGTCGCTGTCACTGTCAGGCCTCTGCTGGATCATCGTGTCTCTCTTAGGCTCAGGTTGAGGAGGAGGCTTTCTCAGCTTTCTCTTTCTCAGGGTCTTGTCTTCCACAAAACCTTGAGGCTGAGACGACTGAGATTGCATGTTCACTGTGTGTTTCCACACCTGAACATTGCCCCGCTTGTGACCCACAATTCCCTTGAGCTGGTCTCTCATGCTTGTAACACCGCGTCTGCAGCCAGGGCCATCGAGATCTACAGCTCTAGGAGTGCCACATGTAGGATGGCTACCGCACGAATGCAAGTGGATCACTAGTTTGTTCACATTCTGAACCACCACGGAGTTTGCATTGTTACACTGGTAGGATTCCCCAGCTGAAAAAATGCCGCCACCAAGGCACCCACCCAAATCTGACTCCCGAGTCTGAGGATAGTGATAGTCCATAGGCGCGTCGCCATTGCCGCCGCGGCAATTGCCAAGGGCCTTGCCAAGGGCAATGTTGAGGTTGAGATGGTTGTTACC